CGGGTTGATTTCCGGCTCTGTCTGCCTTGGATCCCCGGCCATTTCCTGTTATGTTTGTCCTCTGGCACAGGGCGAACAAGGAGAAGCCGCGAGCTCCCCAGCCTGGAAACGGCACAGGGGCCTCGGTGGGCACCCCCCTGCAGCACTCGTTCCTGACAGACGTATCCGACGTGTATGAGATGGAAGGCGGCCTTTTGAATCTTCTGAACGACTTCCATTCAGGGAAGCTGCAAGCGTTCGGTAAGTCCTTGGGTCATGGCACAACTCGGCCTTCAAAGCCCCTGTGTTTGTTCTCCGCGCTGATTGCAGGTGATCTGTAGCGTCTGTTTCTGCCCACCTGTGTGTGTTGCAGAGTTTTGATTTTTGGGTTAAATTCCTCTAGTTGAGCAGCAGACGTGGAGGGATTCACAGAGCGAAATAGCTTCAAGTTCCACACAGTAGTCCACCCCTTTTCTATTAACTGGCACATACAGTCATAACACTCAGAGACATTTGTAAGAGAAAGAATAAAAGGATTTTATTACTTACAGTTGAATGGAGGTCACAGCAAACTGACAAACACGGCTGCTTTCAGCAACAGACTTCAACAGACTCTAGAGAGGGGGGGAAGGCACAGAGCAGAGAGGCGTGGCTCTCTTTGAATTCAGAGTCAGGAGGGAAGGGTGGGTGACTGCTGGACCATCCTGAGAGTCCCCTCGACCCAAAAAGGTCCCTCCCAGCCGTACCTTCTCCAGGCTGCATGCGAGATTGTAGAGCGTGTCCCCACCCCAATTCTTCATGCAGGAAAAGAATGTTCTTTCGAGCAACTGGAGCACGTCCGGGAGATGCCGGAGAAACTGGCCCGCCTGCACTTCAGCCTGGACGTCTCAGTCGAGGGCCGAGGACCAGAAGAAAACGGTGGCTGACAGGAACCTGGATCAGCTGCTCACCAACGTGAGTTCTAGGACGAGGAGCCCCCTCGGCATCTGGTCCAGCCACATTGTTGTTGTTATTATGATGATGGGAAACCTGTATCAGGTGGAGTGGAGGGAAAGGAACATCCTGTACGTCCACACACGTACCCATGGTGTATTGTGACGGAACATCTTTGCCCTCTCAAGTCTAGGGTTGGGGCTGTGTTTGTGGGGTTTCTTCACGGCTGTAAATTATTATTATTTTTTTTGCTTCTGCAGCTGGAAGAACTCAGCAACTCCATGTATCCTCCATGTGGGGCTCGATCCGCAACTCCCCAGGCCGAGGGAGAGCCAGCAGGAGAGGGGCAGGAAGAAGGCAGGGAAGGGGTTTAGAGAAAGGATGAGACCTCGACTCCCTTTGTGGGGGCTGCACAGCATCTGCTGGGATCGGGGGGAGGGGGAGAGATCCGGAGACCAGAGGGTGGATCCTCGTGGTGTCACAAAGCAGTGTTTGGAGCAAGGAGGGGCAACTGGGGTTTCGGCCCGGGGTGTCCAAACTTGAGGGTGATGCTCAGAGGACGAGAACCAGCCTGTGGGGTTTTGTCACAGGAAGGGCGCAAATTCGCCCGCCCTGCTGGGGGCGTCACGGACCCCCAGCTGCTTCTCCTCAGGCAGAAGGAACCAGAAAGTGGGTGGGTGCAGTGGGTGATTCTCCTCTGGTTCCTGCCTTCTTTTTCCATAAGGGTTAAAAGGTTCAGCTTTTCATTTAAGTCAGATTGTTTGGTCCTGACAAAACATGTGACCTGAAATGGGAACATGGCTTGGCTTGCTTCCCCCTTTTTCCCTTAATGTGACCCCTCAGACAAAAGCTCCACTTGGCGGAAAATCCAGACTTGGAAGAAGCATCCACCGTCTAAGATCCTCGGGGCAGCCCCTGAGTCTTCTCACGTCCTTCTTTCCGCTGGAAGCCTCAGGAAATTTTTTTTTAAAAGGGAGCTGCATGGAACGGTGTGAAGATGAGCCATCCCTTGGGAGCCATTTCTGAACTGTACAGGGAAAGAATACTGGGGGGAAAAGGGGGGGAAGGGTTGATGTATAGAAACTGGGGTGGGGCAGGGCCAGACATTTGACAATGAGAGAACTGTGTCCGCTCCACCAGAAACAAGAACACCCGAGAAAGGAGCCAACTGTGGAACAGGAATCCGGGGAAAAGGAGGAAACTGGAAAAACAGCCCAGCAACGAACTGCGAGAGAAACAGCCGGTTCCCTACCTGTGTTCCAACACTGTGGGTCAACCAAGAGCAATCCAGTAATGTTGTGTGTGTGATGTTTACAGGCATCTTCTGATGCCTGACACAGGCTGGGCAGCATGGCTTCAGGGTCATATGCTGGCCGAAGTAACATGTTCTGGAATCAAGATGCATGCAAATATTCCTTAAATTCTGACCAGATGGATTCCCAAAGAAGGGAAGAGCAGACCCCAGGGAACTTCTCTTTCTTGGGATAGGGGGGAGAAGGGAAGAAATGTTTCCAAGCTTAGGAAAAGCCTTTGGGGGTTTTTTGGACAACAGCCTCCCCAAAATCCCAGTGGTTCTAGTCGTCTTAGGGTCGAAGTCCAAAAAAACAAACACAGTTTCCCATCTCAATGACTTTTACCTTTCCTTTCCACCCAGCCCCAACCTGCACAAACCCTTTGCAAATGCACAGACAGCATGTCAAATCCTGTTGGCAGTCACTGATTTCATTGGCTAGCGCTGGCTAGATTGACAATCCCTCCAGCTTAGAAAGGTCCCTCCAACTCAGACCTTCTCCAGGCAGCATGCGAGGTTGTAAAAACTCCAACCTAATACAGCTCTATTGTTCTCCTTATTTACACACCCTTTTTAAAAAGCAACTTCTCCGTTGGTTCTGCTCCAGAGTCCATCGTGAAGAAAAGGCTGAGTATCTCTCTAGCACACGTGGATGGGCTTTCTCGGAAGGCTACACAACCGTGTTTATCTCCATCTAAACGGTGGAGGAAAGCTTACAGGCAAGAACAGGGCCACCCACTGCAATCTGCGTGGAGTCAACACACATTTGAAGGGAGCATTGGGACAAAAATTGTGTTACTTCTGTCACACCATCTGCTGCTTCGCCACCGCGTTGGCCTGCTCTGTGTCAATATCTTGTATTTTGGTTTCCCACTTAACAGCGGCTGCGTAAGGCAGGCTTGTAAGGAACCAAGCAAGACATTGTGCTAAGCAGATCTTGCAAATGCGCCTTTTAAAAAAAAACTACAGTTCCCAAAATCCCCCATTCAGCATGGCCATCTTCAAGCCCTGCTTCTAAGTAAACACATTTAGGACTGTGTTGCATTTAGAGTTCTCAAGCCAGGTTATGACAGAGAGATCGGATGGCACGTATTTGAAATTTCACTGCAATGCTTTTAATGCCAGCAAAAATTTCTTAAATCAGCATGTTTCACTCTGTATATTTAGCGACATTTCTATAGTTAATGAGAAATTGTGTCCGAAAAAGCAGCCGCGTTGGTCTGTCTCAGCAAGTCGGCAAAATTACCCGAGAGCTTTTTGCTCAGTCAGTTGTCGTATCAAAATGTGTTCTTTTATACGTTTGTTGGATATTTTAAAGAACCACCACAGGAAATTACACTGATGATGTTTTTAAAAAATGAATAAATAAAAGGGGGAAGACAATCAAAAAGGGCAGGAATTGTGCCTCTTGTGTTAATGTTTTATAGTCCCTTGGCTTCCTTTATAACTCTCTTGTTGCAGGGTTATATTTTACTACGCTGTTGCAAAAAAAAAAAAAAAACACCTCCTGCCACAGAATAGTGCACTGCTCTAATGGAGTGGAATATAAATTCATGGATGGAATGAATGAATGAACAAATGAATGAAAATATTCTGAATGAATAAAGAAATAAATAATATCGTGGCACTTTTCAGGCGAATCCGTTGGTTTGTCTCTTAGTTGCATTCCCAGTGAATCTGCTGCTGGTCTTTAAGATGCCACCAAATGTGTTGTTGTTGTTTTCACACACACACCCTTTAATTTTATTTTTAATTGGCTTGCCTTTTTTTTAAAAAAGCCCTAAAAACGGAGACTGCAGGAAAAGGAGCGGCGAGATGGCCCCCTAGCGACCCCGGCGGGGAACTGCAGGAAGGGGAGGAAAGGGAAGACGCGTGTCGCGCGCGGGTGACGTCATCAGGGCGGCGCGGTTGCCCGGGCAGCGGAAGCGGGGCTTGTACCCGGTTGTGGTGGAGGTGGGGGGGGGAAGAAGATGATGGGGCAGGAGGAAGAGGGGCAGCTCCTGCTGAGGAGGGTGCTGCTGCTCCAGGTTTGTGTGTGTGTGTGTGTGTGTGTGTGTGTGAGAGAGAGAGAGAGAGAGAGAGCCCAGAANNNATTGCTATTGGGCAAGGTCTGCCTTCCAAGCAAGAACATCAAATATAAAATTAAAGGGGGAAGACCCACGTTGGAGGGCCAAGGGCGTCCCTGTGTGTGTGTGTGTGTGTGTATGCCACCCATTAGGCACAAGCAGAAGCCTGGGTCGATTTTGGGCCACTAGAAAGGGGCCACCCAGACAAGCTTCCGAGCCTTCCCAAATTCTCTCCCTGTGGTGCCAATGCTGCAAAACGTGGGGGGAGGGCTCTCTCTCTCTGTGTGTGAGAGAGAGAGCCCAGAATTGGGGTTGGGGTGGGTGGGTTTAGGGGTGGAATTGCTATTGGGCAAGGTCTGCCTTCCAAGCAAGAACATCAAATATAAAATTAAAGGGGGAAGACCCACGTTGGAGGGCCAAGGGCGTGCCTCTGTGTGTGTGTATGCCACCCATTAGGCACGAGCAGGAGCCTGGGTCGATTTTGGGCCCCTAGAAAGGGGCCACCCAGGAAAGCTTCCGAGCCTTCCCGAATTCTCTCCCTGTGGTGCCAGTGCTGCAAAACGTGGGGGTCGGAAAAGAAAACCCTTCCAAAAAGTCTTCCCCCCCCTCCCAGCTCCCCCTGGTCTAGCCAGATGGGGGAAGCCGAAGTCCTTGAAAGCAGACTGCCTGTCACCCAGGGAGCAGGGGCCAAACAGGGCGCCACAGGATCCGGGCTCCATGGAGAGAGCTGTGTAAGCCAGCCCCCACCACCCCGTAGGTCCAAAACAAGGAGAAAGGAGGGAGAGAGGAAGAGCAGCCGCGCTCCTTCATTCAGGCTGGAAAGGGGCCGGGACCCCGTTGACCTGTTTTCTTCCCTGGTTCCTAAGGACTGACCGGTGGCTTTCTCGTGGATTTTCCTCCTAGGCTTGCATCCGGGGTTACCTTGTCCGGAAGAGGTTCCGAAGCATACCAGAGGAATACGAGAGGATCGTAAAGGAAGTCGAAGGGAATTTGGAAGAGCTGCGGTGGAATAAGAGCCCTCTGCCACGACCTGTGTTTCTCCCAAAGGTAGGATGGGGGGGGGGCTCAGGCCCCTCTTGGCAAAAGCTGGCAGGATGGCATACTTTGAATTGTATTGGGAAGTCCAGGAGGCAGAGGTGAGAAGATGGTGGCTTTGGTAAAAGACGGTGACGGGGCTGTTTCACGCCACCCTTCCGCTCTCTCAACTCACCTGCTCTCTTAGGGGCCCAGAATGGAGACGAACTGGAGGAGAGTTGCAACCGTTGCACCCACACATCCACCATTTTCATTGCTAGTCTCCTTGAGAGCAGGTGGTGCCTTTTACTAGCCTGCCAGAAGTCTGCATTTCTGGCAGTGGGACTGTGGAAGCCTAGAAACCTGGCTAGGAGACTCCTACGAGGCTAACAAAAAGCAGTTTTCCAGGCTAGCTACTTTCGTGAGCTTTGTGACAAGGTTGTACCTCTCTGTCTGAAGTCTGAAAGCTTTGTTGTGCCCTTGGCATTCAGCTGAACAGAAATTACCAACTGGATTAATTTTTTTTTCTGGGCAGTTGGATGTGGTTTCCATGCAATAGGGTGGTGACAGATGTTTCAGGTTTGGGAAAGTAGCTGCGGTGCTCAGAGGAACAGCTGCCTCTTGTCCACCACACAGGGCTGGCCTCTGCTCGCCCGTACCATGTTTCTACTGCGTAAGAAGAGGCAAGATTGGGGTAGGTATATATTATCTTCTTCTCCTTCTTAAAGTGCTGCCTTCTTGTGTATCCTCTATTCAGAAATCCATAAAAAGAAAGGAGTTAAATGATCATGGGGCAGGATCCAGTAGAAGCGAGCCACAGGAGAAAGAGCAGACCCTTTGTCAAAGGAGGTTACTTCCTGAAAGAGAATGTGATGATACGGTGCAGCTTCTGAGCCGGCTTTCAGCCGATGTGGTGGCAGGTGCTGGAGCTGATGACCCGGGAGAGAATCTGGAACATCTTGGGGACAAGCGCTCTGAGGATGCTTGCAATGTGCCAGGAGGGAATGAGGAAGGCAATGTATCATCTGAATGGGGCAGCACCATCCTGGAAATGGAGTCTCCTGCATTAAGTCAAGGTGAGGCACCTGAGGTGTCAAATTTGAGGCTCCGAACCTCCTCCCAGTCTTGAAACCTATTTCCTGTTGCCATGCAGCGACTGTTTCTTTAGCACGATCCACCTCCATTGGAGCTGTGGAATACACGGGGGTGCAAAGGTGGTTGGAGTGCAGCTCCCACAAGCTCCCACTGTCACAGTAGGGAGAAGCAACGGGAGCGGCAGTCCCAGCGTCAGTCAGGGATGGGGGACCACTCTGCTGGACTTCATCGATCTGTTTTTTTCACAGAGCTGCACTTCTCCAAAGTACAAGGGATTCCCCAAACCGTGCCTGACCTTCAGCGGTACCGAAAGGACCTGGCCATGGAACTCCTGTGGCTGCAACAGGCGATCGTCAGCCGTAAAAACGTAAGCCCCAGTGGCCCCTGGGAGCCCCTGGCTTGTTTTTGTCTTGGGGGGATCCAGAGGGCAGCAGACGTTCCCCAGGCATTGTTCAAAATATATGTTTGAGTGCCATTTATAGCTGATCTCCTTGTTTTCCTGTCCCTTCTCCACCCCATCCATAGTATTTGATCCTGAAACAGAAGTTGGGAAGCCCGCGGTGACTGCTGGTCTGGAGGCGTGAGCCCTTATCGCAATTTACCCACAAACTTGGAAACCTCTGCCCTTACCTGTTGTAGGAGGGATGAAAGATGGGGGCCTGCTGGGGCGATCTTGTTCCTCGCCACTCCACATGCTTCTTTTCTGGGATCAGCGCCGAAGCCCTGGGCAAGCAGCAGTCAAGATGGAACTCTCTTCCAAATCCAAGGCCCAGGTTGGGTGGGATTTTTAAGTAGTTGAGAAGACCGGAGTGTGTTGTGGAAGTCTCCAGTTTCTGTGGACTGAGGTTTTGCTGTTTTTGCACATGCAGAATCTGAGCTTGAGGACTTTACATGCATGATTTTAGCAGCCTTCTAGGACAAGCTGTTAAGGTAACAGCAGCATGTTCAGTGTGGGTCGTGGCTGCAGTGGATGATTTTGCAAGAGGAGTCAGATCTCCTGAGGTAGAGGTGGCTTCTCTGTCTGCAAAGCCGTGGTGTTCTCATCACTCGACTCTGAAGGTTTCCAATGTCACTGTGATTTCTCCAGGGAAATCCAGAAATTCTTGGCCTTGACTTCCATACCTGGAAATGTCCGAATGGGTGTTTCTTCCTCTATCCAGTGGTATAGCTACAGTATTCTTTAAGAGTTTACTACGGCTGTTGCTCATTAGTTTCTGATTTTATTTCTGGATGGTGGGGTCTGCAGTACAATAGAAACTGTGCTAGCATGTCAGAATCCCAACATCCTGTCTCTCATCATTGAATAAAAATGTCCAAAGTGAAACTGGTTGTAGATACATATATATATTTCCCTCTGACTGACAGGCAAAGACCCACAATGAAATCACCATCTTACATAACCGAAAATACATCTTGTGGTGGTACCTTTATGGGGCAGCCCAATAGATATGCAAAGTCACACAAGCGTTCAGATGTTTATGCCTTATTGCAATCTGGATCTGGGCATTTGAGTGTTTTTATAATCAGTACATACCCCCTTTTTAGTCTGACATCATGTCCATTGCCAGAGTTGTTAAAGAAGCAGCAGCCTGGTGGTTGGGAAGGGTGACTGCTCTGAAAAACGACTGCATGTTGAAGGCTTGGCTGTCAAGTGTTGGCCGAGTGAAGGACCCGCCCTGCGCTTGGCAGCTATGGAAACGGCAAGCGTCGCTCTTGGAATGCAGGTTGGCACACTCTGACAAAAAGGTTTTTTGTGGTTTCCTTGTTGAAACTCCACGACTCTCCCCACCACACACAGACACGCAAACCCAACTTTCAACCTGAGCCAAGTGGCTTCCCGAGAAGAGGAGCCGAGCCCTTGCGACCCCAGAGAGAGAAACGATGAGCTCAGGGGCTGTAGCCGTGGCACCTCCTGCCAAGAACGTGGTGGTGTATCGGAACGGAGACCCCTTCTTCCATGGCAGGAAGTTTGTGGTGAGCCAGCGCCGCTTCCTGACCTTCGAAGCCTTTCTCAACGAGGTGACTGGCATGATCCAGGCCCCCGTGGCTGTCAGGAACATCTACACTCCCCGATACGGGCACCGAGTCGCGGACCTGGGTGAGCTCCAGAATGGCCAGCAGTATGTCGCTGCGGGCTTTGAGCGATTCAAGAGGCTCAAGTGAGTAGACTCTTGAGAGTCATCCACCTCCCGGGGGTGAGTAGGGAGGGGGGTGGTTGGAAAGAGAGAGAAAAGGGGACGCTTTAACCAGATCTAGAGATCCAGCCAAGACTTCAACCTTCTCATCGCAAGGACGAGATGTTGAGCCCAAGTGGAAAGATCTAAGATTTCTCACAGCTCTTCAGCCACTGCATGCTTCTCCTTCCTCTGCTTTCCTTCTCTATTTTACCTTGAATGATCAGGTGGAATAAGCTGCGCTTCTCATTTCCCATTATGTGATTGAAGTATTCCAGTTTCTGCATGTTATGAGCTAAATAACCATAGCTGGCATCAGTTCTGTAAATGTCTTACCTTGAATGATCAGGTGGAATAAGCTGTGCTTCTCATTTCTCATTATGTGATTGAAGTATTCCAGTTTCCTGGATGTTATGAGCTAAATAGCCATAGCTGGCATCCGTTCTGTAAATGTTTTCTTCTTTCTCTTAACTGAGAAAGAGTCATGGAACTATGGTAACGGAAGAGCGCTCTCACTCTTACAAAGACAATATCCTGAACGGTTCTCAAATCTTTATTAGCTTTCTCTAAACCAAAGTTTGGGAATGTGGCCTTTTTGGATTACAAATCCCAGAATCCCCCAACCATTGGTTTCCAACCTCTGCTCAAAACCATGGGCAACCTTAGATTCATTTCCCTCCTGGGTGGGCAAAGTGTGGTCTTCCACATGAGCTGTGGGATTGCAACTCCCATCCGCCCTAGCTGGCACAATCAGTGGATGAAGAATGCTGGGAATTGTAGTCTAACCACACCTGGAGGGCCACATCAGGCCCAGCTGCTCAGCTGCTGCTTGGATTGTGACAGCAGGCAGATCGCTGATGTCAACGCTCAATCGCATCACGGCCATTATTTACAGCGAGTCATTTCGCTTTGCTGGGTATAAGTGAGTCTGTCAGCACCTGGTCTTTAAAGCAGATGTGAAGCATTAGGCCGTCGGTTAATTTGTCTCTCATCCGACAGTGCACTAAAAACACTTCTGATTCCTTGGTAGGTAACAATTTCTGCAGGAAGCACAACAAATCTCCGATCTTTTGCCAGAAAGATTGACCCATGGTCCTCGAACCATAGCTATCACCGTTTGAAACGACTTTCTCGGCTGTGGCTGCACCCAAATGAAGGCTGGGATTTAAGATTGAGCTTGCCCAGATGTGAAATTTAAATTCTTTATACACAGCCAGATCAATGGTGTTGAGCAACGTCTGTGTGGAGAGAGAGCTGGATCGTGAAGACCTGTGTTCGCCTCCGTTGGAGTGCATGCGCTTCTTCGGCAGGTGGTGCGGCTTCAGTTCCCCATCTGGGACGTGGAACCGTTCTACTCCCTCACAGGGCTGTCATTCTATAAAGCACGACGCCGTCAAGTCTTGTGTCTGAGCCAAACTCCGTGCTCCCATTGGTTCACCTTTCATTATTTTCTTCCTTTCTTTACTTTGGCAGTTACCTCCACCCTGAAATGCAGCAAATGAAGAGGAAGTGGAAGAAAGATGACGTTCGGGTGAGCCCCCAAGCGCTGCTTTTTGAGTTGGTCAAGTCTCAGGGCTTAATTCTGAGGGACTTGCTGCACGTTGAAAAATTGGCAGGTGGGAAAACCAGTCCCAGAGGGGGAGAGCGCACTCCAGGAGGAGAAAGTCCGATTTTTTTTTCCGTAGTGAAGAGGCTGGTCTAAAGTCTGGATTCACTAACAACATCTGCTGGGGTGTCGTGTTTATAGGGTTGTGTAGCCCCCCAGCAACAACAGCATCCTTTACACACCCCGCTGAGGGCCACAGCAAACCACCCCCAAAGAGGCAGAGCTGTACGTAACTAGCCATTTTTGCCAGCTGGGGCATCCATTCTGGGACTGAACAAAGGTATCTTGAAGATACTGGTTTGCTGCTTAAGTAATGATCATTTCATTTCTTTTATTTTGTTGTTGTTTCATGCTTTGTTTTGTGATAAGTCCCGGGGAAGTAAACACAGGCTGAATTTGCACCTCGGAGTACTTGGGGAATTCCCTCTGTTGAGAAGAAAGTGGGTTAACGGATGGGAGCGCACGCCCCTCTTCCCATCTCCTTTGTTCCCGCCATTCATTCTTCCTAGCGCTTGGCTCAGCCTTTCCGCTTCCTCCTATGTGTTCTTCTCACTGTCAGAGTTTGGGATGTAAGGTCCTTTGGGCAGAATCCTGCCTTTTTGTCATGGTTTAGAGCAGCAAAACCACACACAAGGGATATGTAATTAACAGAAATCCTGATTGATTGACTGATTGATTGACTGATTGATTGATTGATTGATTGATTGATTGATTGATTGATTGATTGATTGATTGATTGCTCTTCAGAACTACGCCGGTCTCTCCCAGAGGACCCCGGTTTCCACATCGTGGAAGAGGCAGGTGAACTTGCCCTGCATTATATAGTGAGTATTTGTTTTTTTATTTGACGGGTTCCCGTTTGAACAGTAGGGTCACCCCTGGGCATCCTTTGGGGGGGGGAGATAGTGAGAATATTTGGGAAAGGTGATGACAGAACTTGTATATTTGCTCACCCCTTGTGCCAGACCTGGTTTAAGCAGTGATGACAGATGGAGTCTTACCTGTAATTCATAAGAGCTTTTTTTTTTTAAATGGTGTATAGGAAAAAGGCTACCAAGGGCTCATTGGGCAAAAGCCACACACACCATCCTGTAATTGTGTGAGCTTCATTAAAACATTATTATTTCTGTAGCTCTTTTCCAATATGCTGAAAGTGCTGACTTCTCTCAAGAACCCTGCAAGGAAGGCCCATTTCACTTGCTGTTGGTGAAGCTGGTTCGTGGCTCTCCTGATGTACCCATATTCACTTGCTGCAAACCTTCAGCGACGGTGAGCAAAAATTTGCCCGCAGAACTTGTCCCTACGAATCTCCTTTGCTTCTCTCATCCAGCGTTTTCCGCAATGGGGATTTGCTAAACCCTCCCTTCCGTGTGATACTCAGCAACAGCACCCTGCAGGATTGGAATGCCGTCCTGAGACTCTTGTCTGAGAAGACACCGCTGCGCACTGGATCAGTTAGAAAGTGAGTCCCACCTTCCTTGTTAAAAAAAAACGGGTGAAAGACTGTGAGCATCTCGGGGAAAGAGGCTTCTGGATGCTGTTGTTCTTAACCCAACCCCCCCCCACACACACACACACAAAATGGTTCAGTTTTAGTCGCTCTCCTTGCCAGGCTCTGCAGGCTGAATGGGGAAGTGGTCTCCAGAGGTGAGGATCTGGTGAGTGGGGGCTACTACGTAGCCGCGGGACTGGAAAAGTACAAGAACCTGCCCTACGTGGAACTCTTGGTGCCTCCGAAGACTGTGCACCAGCCTTTCCGGTAAGTGGCCGAGGTCACGGGATCTTGGCTTGGGGGCCAGGCTGCTGGGATGGGGACCAAACGCTATGCACCAGTCTTTCCCTGGAAGCGGTGTGTGTGTGTGTTTCGTGTCCCTTAAGACTGCCTATATTACCCCTCCCCTGTTTCATCCTGAATACGCTGGATCCCATATGATTTTGGGAAGCTATAAGCTGGCGTCAACCAGGCTGGTATTTAGGTGGGTGGCCATCTGGATCTCCAGGTCTGGCCAGGAAAACTGGTAAAGCTGACCCTTTCTTTGCTTCGCTCTTGTCTCTCTGTTTTTGGGGCTCCTGCGAATGTCCTGCTTCTGTGCTTTCAGGAACCTTCCAAACCTCAGGAGGAGGAACCGAGACGATGAGGCAAGTGAGACCCGCCGCGCACACTTTCATAGCACCGCTGACCAGGGGTCTTGGCTTTCGGCTTCTGACGCATCTCTGGGAGAGAAGCGTGGCTTTGTTTCCTTGTCCGATTTCTCGGGCACGTGGCTCTGAAAGGTTTGAGTGCCTGGAGGCATAACAGTCTCTGAGCAGGAAATACTCATTTGCCTTCTTAAGGTGTGATCTGACCTTCTGTCACAGACCAATTGGTTTCTCATTAGACTTGGCAAATATGAAGCCTCTCTTGGCTCACAGAAGCCATACATTGTGCAGGCCTATCTCTCATTTGATAAGGAAAAAAAATATATCCTTTTCTGAGGTCCCCCAGAAAGATCTCTGTTATCCTGGGTTATTATTCCAGGGAATGGTAATAATTTTTTGTTGTTGTTGATTTTGTGTTCTCCTGAGAGAAATACAATATGTTATGTTATGTTATTTACCTTAGACTGTAGGCTCAATCCAGTAATCTCTTAATGGTGCAAAGCCTCTCGGGGTGCACAGTGCACCCCTTCACCTCTCACTACTCCCAAAGTTTCCCCTTTCAACACGTGTTTGTCTGCAGTTTTCCAACACACTCAGAGGTAGATGTGACAACACCGCTCTGCTAAAACAGGAGTTTGTATAGACCAAAAAGCTGAAGTCCCGTTTTCCTTGAATTGTTAAGGATATTGAACAATTGTCCAAGAACGAGAACTGCACCAGCTACCAAGGAGGAACTGGCTACCTCTCTGGATGAATTCTTATTCTTTCGACAATGGTTTATCGCAATAGGATAAATGATCCTTTAAAGTTAGTTTTTAATGGATGCTATAGAAGCATTACATTATGTTGTTGGTGTGTCGTTAAATGCTATAAACTGCCATGGATGGTTTAATCCTGGAACAGATATTTATGTCCTGAGATGCAGGATAAGGTGGGGCTGGGTGTGCAAAGAAAGTTTAGGGGCTCCTAATGCTGGACCTTTCTTTTCAGTTCAGTGAGATTTAGGTCGGCCTGAATTCCGTGGGATTCTAGTCGCCCGCCCTTATAGCAAATTCCTAAAAGTCTTCTTCTCTGGTGGAAAGGAGCTTATCGTTGGCTGGGTTGTTCAGTCTGTTATCTTTTTGCTCGCAGTTTGGCAAACTCTATCGGACTTCCCAGGATGGCTCCAGCGATTCAGCACTCCTTGAACTCCCTCCACAGGTAAAGAGACTACATGAACCTCTTTCTGTCTGGTCTTGAATTGTGTTTCAACGTTGATTTAAAATGGTGTTTTATGTCCTGAAACATCCTTCCACCATAAGAGCACAGTCCGGCAGCAATAGTTGCCCTAGACCCTACTGTTTCTGCTCGGATTCCCCCATTCATCCTCAAATACTGTGCAGGTGGGGGAGGGCAGAGGTCCTGCAGCAGGTTTTTTTGTTGTTATGGGGGGGGGGCTACAACTGGAAGGGGAGGTGGACAAGGTTTGAATTCAACTACCGCTGGGGATCTGTTATAGATCATTGGGATCTACTGGCAGCTACTGATTTCACTTCTGTTCAGTGCAGATGATTGTACAGGTAGCATGAGCTCCTGGCTCAAGTCATGCATTGCTCTTGCAAACAGACTCCGCGCTGGAGAAAATGAATAGGTCCCCCAGGTGTTTGATGAACTACAAATACTATTATCCCTGGCTACTGGCTCATGGGAGTTCATCCCCACATATCCATGGGAAAGCAAAGGCCCCCTTGCCCATCAAAGGGAGGACATAGGCCCACTCGTACATCAGGATCGGCCCTTAATTTTTTTCCCCTCCCTCCATGGGGCTTCCAGCTGAATCTTCGACAGGTGCAGTCCACAGGAGTTGTGCCAGCAGAAAACAGGAGCCCACGTTCCTTGGCGATGGCACCCAGACTAGCCAGGAAACACCCACTGAAAGAGAAGGAACCTTCCGTCTTTCATGCCAAGCCTGTCCTCATCAAGCAAATCAAGCAAAACCCACATCACGGATCATACCAAGAGAGAGGTAAAGGGGTGTGTGTGTGTGCGTGTGTGTGTAGAGACATTCTGTAAAGCACAGTTGCACCCATAGATGTCATACTGGGAGGGTGGGCTGTGTAGGTCCTAAGAGGTCTGTCTTATGGAGAACGAGCGCGATCTACCCAGGGTGGGCTGTGTAGGTCCTAAGAGGTCTTATGGAGAACGAGCGCGATCTACCTGACCAATCCAATTGGCAACTGCTAGGTGTTTTGGACTCCAGCTCCCATCATCCCTAGGCATTGTGCTAGCTGAGGATGATGGAAGTTGCAATCCAGTGTCTTATGAGGAGGGACCCAGGGAGACTGGTCTAACTCCCGCCACTCCAGGAGGAGCAGGTATCCTCTTCAGGTGAGAATCTTCCATTCAGACTTTCAAAAAGAAAATGTTTGTGAATCCCAGCACACTCCAGAGGCGTTTGGGATTGCAGCTTCCATCATCCCCATCTGCCCCTGCAATAATAGGAGGCGGGAGGCTGCCACCTTTTTTTGTGTTTATGGGACACTGGTTAGGGGAACGGGAGGTGTGCTCATTATTTAATGAGCTTCCTGACAGGTGACTTGGTCTCGAGCAGGGTCTGTTTTGTAGAATCAGAACGACACTCCTCCCTTCGAGGACAGAGACTGGGTGTTTTCTGCTGCCTTTCTGCTTCCCAAGGTGCAGGACATCCCAGGCAGAGGGTTGCTCATCCCAGGTGGGATTCAGGCCTAGCGGCAACTAGTCCGACTTGGGAGATCCCATTCTCTCCAGCCACGGGGCCCTAGAACGCACGTACGCATTCACTCGGGTGTTTCGTTTTCCTCTAGACGAAGACAGCATATATCAGACGAAAGGTCCAAGGAAAGAGACGGCAGGAGCTCAGGAAATAGGGGAGGATGAAGACACGCAGGTGGAATTGCCTGTAGACCAGGTAAGAAGGCTTCCATCCACCCGAGAGCTTTCCGCCTGGCCTGTTGCCTGTAGGCACTCTCGCCACACAAAACATGCTGATGGAACGCCAGCGGGAGGCCCTTTCGGGGCTCTTAAAAGCCCCCAAACGGTGGCTGTTAGGTGGTCTTGCTTCATCCTTGGCTGGGATCCCTAACGAACAGCAGGCACCTAATAGCATTTCATGGACTTTTGCTCTGGGTTGGCGTCCCGACAGCAGCAGGCCAGTGGTCAGAAGACGCTCCCAGTCTTCTTCTCATAATGTCCACCTTTTCTCCAGACCGCTGCCGAGACTGTGGAAGAGGAAGTTAAGCCCAAAATGGAAGTAAAGCCACGCAGGAAGGTAATCCTCTTTTGCAGAAAAACTGGTGTATTGCAGGTAGCACCAATGACCATTAAAAAAAACCTTATACCATTTTGAGACCAAATTATCTTAAATAAGGTGGGTTTCCCTCCTCCATTTTGGCAGAAAGCAGTGTTTATTGTAGCAGTTCGGGTGTTTTAAGGCAAGACCACCTTCCGCTCCTTTGCTTTAGCACTTCCGTCTCAGTTCAGCCCTGCTTCCAAAGCAACACAAGGTGTGCTGCTTATATACTTCCTCATAGTGTTCAAAGCATTAGCTGGGCGCTTTACAATTTAATTATGCAGGCCACACATTGCCCCCCACCCCTACCCCACCAAGCTGGGTACTCAGTTCACCAACCTTGGAAGGACAGAAAGCTGAGTCAGCTTTAAGCCGGCTACCTGAGGTATCAGGATTAAACTCAGGTTGTGAGCAGAGCCCGGATCAGGATCAAACTCAGGTTGTGAGCAGAGCCCGGACTCCGTGTATGTTCTGTGCCATCAAGTCAGAACCAACTTACAGCAACCCCAATAGGGCTTTCAAGGTCGGTGAGACATCTAAGGAGTGGCTTTACCAGTTCCATTCTCCCAGACAATTCCCATGGCTAAGCGGGGATCTGAACCCTGTTCTCCAGAATCCTAGTCCCCCATTCTATCCATACCACCACCCTGGACAGTTTGACTGCAGCCATAAAGCTTACTCAATGCTTAGTCCAGTGCTTTTGCCCCAACGTAAATCTTCTTTCTTTTTCAAACAATTCTTTGTTCAACAAAAAGGTTGAGAACGATGACAAGCTACAGAGAGCGCATGCCATCTGGATGTCCACTGGTGAAGGAAGCAGCTCCAAAGCCCCAGTTCCATCCGGCTTGGAGGCCGACCGCCAGAGAAGAGAAATAACGAGGCTGAAACGGAGGCCCCAGCGAACGTTATCCGGCTGAGAAAGGAGATCCCAAAATAACTGCGTGTTTGCCCTCCCCGCTCCTTTCTCTACAGTTCTCTTATGGATGTTCTTAAAAATAAATTTGCAAATCCACCCAGTATCAACTGTTCGGCGTTCACTTGATAGTCACAGAGGTGGGTTCTGATCAGGGGACACAGTAGAGCAGGGGAAATTTCTTAAGCTAACTGGAGAGTGACTAGTGTTCCTTACAAGTTTAAGGAAGAAAAAACATAAATATGGCAACAGGTAAATACCACACCTATCGCAGGTGGTGATCCTCAGCCCTGTGAGTACCAGTTCTTCTGTAACCGAAACAGAAGCATTCAAGACAGAAGGCTGGGCGAACAGGGAACAATGTGGAAATAAGGCACCAGATTTAGCCACTTAAGGTTCAAACCATCACTTCGCACTGAACAAGAACAATGCATCTAATGTTAAGAAAATGAGGTTCTGAAAGTGAAGCCAAAGTATTAGAAACATTAGTTTTAAAATGTTACTTTTAGATGCATCTGTGGTCTTATGTGATACAAAGGAGTCAGCATGACTTCCAACTGGGAAGTAACAACGCCTCTGGGAGTAACAACAGCCTCAGAAAACCCAAACAATATTATTCTCAAGGGAAACGCTTCACACAGCAACAATGTCTGTGGCTCTAACTCATTTGCACACAACTGAATTTCAGAAACTCCAGAGAGACAGAGGGGATATTTATTCCCTACAAAAACAGGTTAAACTGTTCTCTTGCAAAAGTCCACAAATGGATTTGCATACAGATGCCTAATGCTTCCCGTGTTTTTTTTTTTTAAATGTGCTGGATATCAAGATGGGAAGAAAGATGAGTTGCAGCTGTGTGACACAGAGGGGATGCTGAAAGACCTCTTTGCTCGTACTTAGTAATCATCTGCTCTGAACTGCTGCCCAGCCAGAGAACAGGGTCTGTGAAGCCAACTAGTTCATCATGGCCCCCGGGGGAGCACTTTAAACGTGCCAGTTCCACCCTGTTTTAGGCTTTCTAGGCCTGTATCGGCGGAATCTTTTCAATGGAAGCGAATGCTCTTTCTTCCACTGCCTCCAGTCTCCACTGCTGCCTCTTCACAGGCTCTTCTCCTCTCTGCTGAAGGCGATGCAGGTGTGCAATGATTCCTGGGCCTCATCCAGGCCGGCTGGAATGCCTTTTTGCACAACGTTATTCCCTGGAGAGTGCTGGACTATTCTGGCAGCCCCTTATTTTAAATTGTACAAAGCCCATGCGTTCTGTGGCTACTCCAGGACACGCTCAGGTGGCCCAGGGTGGCTCTTTGCAGGTGAAGGCTGAAAGATGTGCGAGGAGCTGACCCAATGCAGTTTTTCTCAACAGTCCCTAAGGGCTCTAAGCTGAATTAGTGTCCAGGGGCCTCTTTGCAGTGTCCTGTGGCTCTTGAGACTGGAGCCCACTGTAGTATGGGTTGCTGTGCCACCAAACTCTTCCTTTTTCTCCAAAGAGGCTTCTCATGGTTCCTCACCTCCAGATCCAGCTATGCAGAGGCCAACTCCCAAGGTGGTGAGCAGCATTCCCACAGCAGCCCCTGGAGAAAAAGAACACACACAGGAAGTAAGCCTGGACAGTGCGGTTGGGGCCATTTGCTTCCACAGGGCTGGGGTGTGTGTGGAAGAAAGGAACACACATTGCTCAAAGGAATGCTCACTGTCCGAAGATTTCTAATGCAACAAGAGACACCGCTGGGGGTGACCGAGTTTGTGATACAATCAGCAAACCAGAGACTTACTTGCACCCCCAATGTTCTCCCCAAGGAGCTTCCCTGTTGCTAATGTGAAGATCAGAGCCAAAGAGTTGCAAAGAGGCACAGCCAAGGTCAAGTCTGAAATGGAAAAGAGGTCATCTAGGTTCACCCGAGCCAATCAAACAGAAATGACTCGGGACTCTGCGCTTCAGTTTTGTGACGACAAAACAACGACTGAATTTATGAGTTCATTAGAGTCTCAGGGGAAAATCTGGCCCAAGCAGAAGAGCCCCTAAGGTGGAAATACTTCCAGAATGACCTGTGACGCAAACTCAACCTGTGCAGAGTGAACTATTTTGCAGATGGGAGCTGGCTTCTGGATGCTCCTCTACGTTTTGAAGGAAACCCAAACAAACCAACAATCTGCCAGTGAGTAAAAAAAACCCTATTAGGGACATCCTTACTACGCTTGGTTCTTGTTGAACTACCTTTCCCCTTGCAGGGAGTATTCACTGCATTCAGATAATCTCCATACATCCAGTACAGTTAGCACATATAAAGACCAGACTTAGAAGTGTTAGAAGCCCTCTGCCTATGGCTACTGTCTTGCAGTTCTTACCACAACTATCTAAGGTTGATCAGAACCTGTTATGTCCTGAGGAGAAGGGAACTTAGTTCGTCTAGTGCCAGCTAGCAGGTTTAGGGTACCAATTAGATCTGAACAAAAGATATACCATACTTTCGGTACCCCCCCCCTTAAATCCCACACATACCCTCCAGAAGAAGTAATTTGGGCCCAACCTGTGGATGCTAAAGTAAGATAGTAGACCAAGGAGCCACACTGGTTGAGGACAAAAGGCACCACGTACTGCAAGGAAAAAAAGAAGGCACCATTGATAAGAGTCTCTAGGTTTCACCTAAGGAGGCGATCACAACTTTTTTCATTTCCATCGGCACATGATGGAAGCCAACCAGGGGGATTTGGGGGCAGGATCAAATACCTTGTAGTTGAGGCAAAGAAATTTAATCTCTGCCAGCAACTGCAGGCTCTGGGTTCCTCTCTTCACCTTCTCCAGACCCTCCGTCCCCTGTTTCAAAAACGGGTTGGTTCCTCCCCAAAGCACGGCCACCAACACCAAAGCGGCCAGCTCACCTGCGGGAACAACAAACACCCTCAGATCACCCACAGTCCAGGAACTGTTCCGAATAATGGGAAATGAATTAATAGCCCTTACAGAGCTATTGCTCCCCACAGCTTTTAAACATGCTTAGAATGTGCTGTTTAGGAACACTTAACCCTACACATCCCAGTGGGCTTTACTTACGCTTGAAGCTTAAAAACACACACACGATGCTTAAGAGTGTTTTTAAAAAGTCACTTATGCTTAACATGTCTAATCTTATATATAAACACAGCCTGCCTCAAAACTGCCTATGGCCCTGATTCCTGTATCCTGTGGTATCTCTCTGCACTTCTGGTAGCCTCCCAGATGCTGCTGAACTGCAATGCCCATAATCCCCAGCTGATGGGATCTGGAGTTCAACCACCTGTGAACATCCAGACAGTGGCCTCTCTCCTGGTGCAGGGGCAGCACAAGACATGGGCTATCCTCATCATCATCAGACAGATGATGATGACGACATTAAGAATAAAGAGGAGCTGGAGGAGGAACTCTTCCCCTACCCCGCGGGGTGACCGTTGGAGGCGATATCTGGGCTTCGTGCAGCCTTTGGGGGCTCCTGGAACGCCTCCCTGCAAACCCAGGCCTTGGAAAAGTTACTTGCTTGGACTACAAAGCCCAGAACCCCCTCCCCTCTCCACGGATGCTGGGCCTTGTAGTCCAAAAACGGCCAGGTCCCGAAGGAACCGGGAGTCACTTGATCATCGCAGGCACCTTGACGCAGAGAGGAGACCCATTCTGGAGGGGGAGGCCAGAGGCCCTCCTCCCGAGTAAGCGCTCCAGCCCTAAGAGAGAAGGAACCGGGAGTCACTTGATCATCGCAAGCACCTTGACGCAGAGAGGGGACCCATTTTGGAGAGAGGGGGGCCACAGGCCCTCCTCGCGAGTAAGCGCTCCAGCCCTGAGAAACCCCCCCCGTCTTCCTGCCGCACCGGAAGCCGCTCCCTCACCCAGCGACGCCATGGCGACCGACCATAGAGAGTAGCGGGAGGGCGGTGGCAAAGAGAGGGCCGTCTGTGACGCGCCCCTCCAACTTCCGGTTCCCCCTTGGGCGAGCCGGGCGGGCCTCTCTCTCTCTCTCGCTCTCTCTCTCTCTCTCACACACACACACAAACACAGGACGTGGAACGAAGCGGCTCTTCTAAGCCGTGAGGGGCCCGAAACGAGGAACTCCATCGACAAAGAGGAGGAGGATCAGGAAGGGCGGAGCGTGTCGCACGGAATCCGGAAGTTGCCTCCCCTCGCCCTTTGGCCCGGCGCCTCCCCTTCCGGTCTCCTGGCGGAAGTGGATCCCCTTGGTGGTGTTCCTCCTCCTCCTTCTCCTCCCGGCCTCCAGCAGCCATGGTGAGTCTCCTCTTTCAGGGCCCCCCGCTCGTCTTTCCCGGGAGGGTCCCCTTCGGCGTGGATGGAGCGGCGGTGGGGGGTGGGGGCTCTCCCGCCCGGCGCACGTGTGCACGCCCAGACACGTGTGCTTCTCTTGCGCGCGTCTGGCGCCCTCGCCCCGTAGGGAGCCCTGAGCCGGGGAAGCGTTTCCGGGCTGAGAAAAGGCTCCCCCTCCCCCCCCCTTTATAAAGGCCCGCAGGAGCCGGATCTTCGATTTTCCCCCACTCGATCTCCGCAGGGAGTTTTTCCGGGGGGAAGGTGGGGATTTGAACCTGAGGCCGCTTAGGGAAACTCGGGAGCAACTCTGGAGAAGGCCATCCATGTGCTTGCGTTTACCCAAGATCATTTTGGGGATGACTCGTTCCTAGGGTCACCCTAAGTCAGGGGTTTTAAACTCAGTTTTCCTGGGGGCCGCTAGAGACAGAGGCCGGGAGAGGCTGGGCCGCATCAGATTTTCCGCCAAGCGGAGCCAGAGCCCGAGGAAGCCGGCCAGGAGTTTCCTTAGCCGACAGACAGGGAGGGTGGCTGGCAGGCTGCAGTTCTGGATGGAGGGTGCAGGAGGTGCTGTCTTGGGAGAGAGCCGGCGAGCGAGGCAAGGCTTTTTTTTTTTACTCTTGACAGCAGAGGATGTGTGAGCACTTTGGGGGGGGCAGGCAAGGCGAGGGCCACAAACTATCATCTGGGGGGGCCGCAAATGGCCCTCAGGCCGCGTGTTTGAGAACCCTGCCCTAAGTCAAAGGTGACTAGATGGGATGGGACAGTGTGGAAAAGGAAACAAGCGATAGTGCTGGAAGATGAGACTCTCAGGGGGGGGAGCAAGGGAGATTTGGGTGACGGCTCGGTCAGAGGGTCGCCATAAGGTGGAGGCAACTTCATGGCCTGCAACAGCTGCTACTGAGCCCTAATTAGACTCCCCTTGCCCCTCCCCCACAGTCTCTCACAACCCTTATTTCTGTACGCTGCATACATCAAAGTATAATCCGTAGTCATTGTTATGGGCCACCCAGTGGCTTCTGCCACAGCTTATACAGTTTCAATTACTCTGGAGTTGTTACATAACAGCACTGATGTTACCTGTCTGTCATGGGTTTGGAGGGACAGTTCCATCCTATGGGGAGTGGAAGGCGGGACATCAGGAGGAGGGGCTGTACTGTATAAATATGAGATACTGAGAGATGCTGAGAGACACTGGGTTGTGACGAAGCAGCAGCTGGGAAGAAGGAGTTGGTGTGGGAGTCTGGGTGTCAGACAGGGTACTACTGTGTGTCAGAGTACCAACCTGAAAGGTTCAGGGGTCTGTTGGTTAGCCAGAACTGATGGGTTCAGGG